TTCTGTAACTCTTCACCCAAATCACAATAAAAAATAAATAAATAAAAATAAAATAAAATAATATATATATGGAAACAGTCCAAGACTAGTGGACCATGGGAACCCCAGCCTAAACAACCCTAAGACCAGAAGACCTAGATGGTGCCCAACTACCACTGCCAGCCACTCTGAAAGTGATCAAAATTGGAGGTCTTGGATGGAGTGGAGGAAAAAGTGGAACAAAACTCAAAATCATAAAAAAAGACCAGCTTTACTGGTATGATAGAAACTGGTGAAACTCCTGAGACTATAGCCCCTACTCACTCTTTAGGCTTAAATTCACTCCCCTGACTTAACCTTCAGCCAAACAATAGACAGGACTATGTGGTGAACAATTACACCAGGGAGTTACATTCCTTAGAACAATCAATCATGGGAGATCAGGAGGGCAGCATTTGCACAGGGAGAAACACAGAAGGCAGGAATGCATAGCAAAAAAGGACACAGAGAGAAGGTAACCACAGGGAAGATGTGGGAAGAGAGTTGTTACATTGTTGAGACTGTAATCAATGGCATGAAACAAAATGTGTATGACTGTTGAATGGAAAACTGATTTGCTCTGTAAACCTTCATCCAAATCATCGTAAAAAGTTTCTAGAAAAAAAAGAAAACTATTGCATCAATATGTTACGTTTCTTGGCATTGTTCAGCATAGGTAAGTGTGCACTTTTCATATACATATATCATATTTAAGTTTTTGCATAAAATAAATGCTTCTAGATGTCAAAAAAAAAAAAAAAAGGGAACGAAAACATATTGCATTGGGCAAATGTGCTGCAAAAGACCTCTTTAAAGTGTTTAAAAGAGCAAAGATGTCACTTTGAAGACTAAGGTATGCCTGACCTAGGCCACTGTCTTTTCAATGACCTCGCATGCATGTGAAAGCTGGATGATGCTTAAAGAAGACTGCAAAAGAATTGATTCATTTGAATTGTGGTGTTGACAAAAAATATGGACACCACCACAGACTGTCAGAAGAACCAACAAATCTGTCTTAGAAGAATGCTCCTTAGAATCAAGAATGGCCAGACTCCATCTCTTATACTTTGGTCATGTTGTCAGAAGGGACAAGTCCCCAGAGAAGGGTATCATGCTTTGTAGATGGTCAGTGAAAAAGGGGAAGACCCTCAAACAAGATAGATTGATACAGTGACTTCAACAATGAGCTCAAACATAGCAACGATTATGAGGATGGTGCAGGATTGGGCAGTGTTTCATTCTGTGTACATAGGGTCACTATGAGTAGGGATTGACTGAATGGCACCTAACAACAACAGGCAAGGAAGTATGTAAAAATGCGTATGCTCAGGCCTCATCCCAGGCCAATCAAATTAGAATTTCTGGGGGTGAGACTCAGCATCAGAAAATCCACCATCATACACAGAGGCTCCTTTCTGATGAACAACAGTGACCTGAGATAAAATATAGTCTCCTGTTTTAGGGAGACAGTAACTCTCAGAAGACAGTATGTTGGCTAGTTTTATTTTTAAAAATATTAAAAAAGAAATTCATCAGGACTAATGGTTAAGTTCAAAGCAATCTCCCCCCACCTACTTGGTAGTGAATATGCCACTTATTCCCTAAAAATCTTGTGCTTGATGAAGAGAGTTAAAGAAAACTGAAAACACACAGGTAGTAGAATGCTACAGGAGGCCTGTGGCAATGACTTTGCTATGACAGCATCCTCATTGTGCCCCTTTTATTTCTGAAAGGTGCAACAGATATCTCTCAACAAAATATTCTGTAGAATCAATGAATTTCAATGCTACCATACTCAGACTTCATATTTCACTTATTTAAAGCAGATTAGAAAAACAGGACTATGGGCAGTTTCTCTTACCCTGTGTACAAGAAGGTTCTGACTATGTTTCTGGATTTAAGCACAAAACATACACAAGTTCAAGTCTCTTCATGGATGACGAAAGAACTCTTATCCTCCTTCTCAACCTGTGCTTATTTTCTCCTTAAAGCCAGCACTTATGTGTTTAGAGCTGAGTGGACTGAAATAATTAGGAGCTCTGGTGGCATAGTGCCTAAGGCATTTGACTGCTAACCAGAAGGCTGGCAGTTCAAACCCACCAGCCACTCCTTGGAAGGAATACTGGGCAATCTACTTCCATTGAGATACCACCTTGTAAACCCAAGAAGGGGCTGCTATGAGTTGGAATCGACTTGATGGCAGTGAGTTTAATGTTTTTTGGTTTGGATATGAGGATAGGTCTACAAACTAGGAGAAATGGAGAAGAGATTACCTTACTTATCACATATTCCCATTCTGCCCTGATATAGCCAGCTGCTGAATTGCCCGCCCCCTCCTATAGCCTTTCTTCAACCTCCCTCATACACCTACCCAAGGAAAGCCTTTTTGAGGGGTTTTGTTGATGGTGTTTGGATCACTGCTGTAAGATGCTCAGACTTCAGGGAGAGGAGTATTATCAGGTTATGTAAGGCTACATATGAAATTTTCATAAGCCCCAAGAGCAGCTCACTCCTCGCTGTACTGAGTTGACTGAAGGTAATTTTCCCTCCCAATGATTTTGTTTACTAATATTGAAGCCAGTGACTAACATTCAACTGTACTTGCTAAATACCTAAACACTGAAATATCATTAGGACTTTATATAGACTTTATGTGCTTGTCAGTCCCTCTTGTGTTCAGTCACTTGGCCTCAGTTGCTGTACTTACCACAATCTCGAGTCTTACAGTATTGGCACACTGTGAGCAGAGTATTGGTTTTTTCCTGTGGGGGTGCGGGGTGGGGTAACTGACCTGAGAGCAGCTGGTTTCCACTCTGTGCATCCCGTAGGAAAAGTCGTCTGTGAGGGTGATTGCATCAGGACTGATCACATCATGGAATGAAGGCCAACCTGAGGAGGAGAGGCAAAAGAACAAAACAGAGAGGAGAGTTACAGAGCCTTAGGTTAAGATGCAATTTTAAAGAAATACTAAGCAAAGAATGGAAATATTTAATACACGACTCATGCTTTATTTTCACCTAGGGAAAATAAAAAAAAAGCAAACTTAAAGGATAATATATTTTGCAAAAATACAATTATTATTAATTTTATTTTATTTATTTATTTTTTTGAATTCCAACTCACATAGACCCTATAGGACAGAGTAGAAATGCTCCATCGGGTTAAAATGGCAATTATTTTTAAGAATAACCTTTTCTCCTCAGATTCAGAATATACTCACATTGGGGTTTTATGTTTCATAAGACAGTGTAGGACCATCTAGTGGTTTTCTAGAGCATCTTCAAACTTAAAAAGCTTTCTCTCACTTTTCCTCTTGTCTCCAGAGTCACCATGTGACCCTGAAGTCCTATGAGTCTTCCAGTAAGATGTTTTCCAAAATGCAGTCTAATTGGCCTGACTGCTAACTGGAAGGCTGGTAGTTCAAACCCACCAGCCACTCCTCCGAAGGAAGATTGGTCAATCTACTTCCACAGAGATACCACCTTTGAAACCCAAGGAGGGGTCACTATGAGTTGGGAGCACTATGAGTCGATGGTAGTGAGCTTGGTTAATTTCAACAGTTCCTTGCCTCCTTAGGAAGCACGTTTTGTCATTACTTAGTTTGGACAGTTAGTCACTGTATTAACATATTAAACATACATATATTCTTTATCTCCACCTCAATCTGTTTTCCCTGGATAGAGGGTATCTAGAAAGCATAGCTTCTGCCTATTTTATGAGCAAGAGGCATGCTCACTTCATAGACGCAACTCAAAGAGCAAGTGTTCCTCAGGTATCTCTATGTGACACTTTCTCTCAAATAGCATCTTGTTCTGATTTTCATTAATTCTAATTATTTTAAAAATATAAACATAGTTTTAAGAAACTCAATGGTAAGTGGACCACAAGATTGTATAAATGTTTATGAGTATACAATCAGGTTTTATGTTCAGTATTTAAAGGCATGTTATTACATGTTTCCAGGAAATACGTATGGAATCGTTGAACTGAAGCCTGCACCCCCAAAATGATGAAAGAGGTGTGATGTTGTTGAATTGCTGGTATATATATATATATTTTTTCCTTTTTCAGAAGCCAAATTTATTCCTGCAGAAAGAAGGAAGCCCTTTAAAAACACACTGCTTTGTGTTAATATACCTACTGAAAGAAAACAGTACGCAAATTTCAACAATATGACTTCCAGTTTCAAAGAAACAAATTAGCTCAGGCCAAGTCTCTATAAGAAACTCCCCCAAACTCCCTGCCTCCCACCATGCAACAGTATAAGTTTTCATAGTCAGGTTTAACACCAGGAGTTTAAACACTTTCCACTTCCTTGAGTTGAGTTCACGATTGCTACAAATGACCAGGAAAACCTTAACTTTCTAGACAACAAGATAACACTTCAGAAAAACACAATATGCTAAGATTCAGCAATATTCTTAAAAAAATTCCCTTACTCCTACTTTAAAAATTCTAGATAATTTTAACATATTGTAGGACCTAATATTTGGTGTATAATGATTACTTGATATATTTAAGTATTCTTTGTTTTAATGACTGAAGTGCTAATTGCTAATTCCGTTTAAAAGAAAGGGTTAATGATGACGTCTGAGGACACTGAAAAGTAAAGTCATTTATCCATGAAAAGAAAAAAAGCATTTTGTATTTTCTCTTTTAACCTCTCAGGGCGTAACTCAGTTGATTGTGCTTTAAGGCAGCTAATATTACAGGGGAATATATTTGATTCACTAGTAAACAGGTAAAAAGATTTAGGAGGTTTTTTGTTTGTTTAAAAAAAAAAAAAAAAACTTGCCATAAAGCTACCTTTCTCTTTTATGTTTTCCTGCTTCTAAAATTCAAAATAGGTATGGTGAAATATACATATATTTTCTCTATGCTACCTCTGCATCTTACAATGTATACTTAATCTTGTTCTACTTATCACACTGGATTTGTGATTTATCTGTTTTCATGCTCTCTTCCCTAACTAAGTGATAAAGGCAGAGGTTGAACTCACTGGGCATTTTCACTGCCTACACTGTGTTCAGCACAAAAGCACACTGCAAATGTTTATTAAACTGATTTCTGATTAGCCTTAAACAGCAAGTGCCATGAATAGTTATTGTACATCACAGAGTTCACCACAGGAGAGAGGTAGAACATAATCATATCCCTTTTTTTTTTTTTTACAGCCTAGATTAAGAAATATGGAGAGTTTCTCTCTGCGGTGTCCAACTTGGCTCAATCCCTATAATTAAACCTGTGTAAGTAGAGAAGTAGCTTAATCATTTATTTAGGAAGGTAGAAACATGAGATAACCTAAGTCACCTCACTTTACAAGGATTTTGGGGAGGGAAAATGGAGGAGCAAAAGGATAAATTATTTGCCAACGTCACACAGGTGGTAAGTGACAGAGCCAAAACTAGTATCTGGATATTTCTACTTCAGTCTAGGATGACTCCCTTATCTTCCCCTTTATCCCCCAATAAAAAGCTGAGAATTCGTTCACTGGAAAACCACAGCAGGAAGGAGGATGCAGGTTTTAATACATTTACTACCATGTCTGGATAGCTGCATTGTTGCACTTGAGGCCTCCAGGTGGAAACAAATGATTGTAGTACCTTAAACAATACTGGGGCAAATGTACTGCAAAAGACCTATTTAAAGTGCTGAAGAGCAAAGGTATCTCTTTGAAGACCAAGGCACGCCTAACCCAAGCCACGGTATTTTCAGTCATCTCATATGCATGTGAAAGCTGGACAATGTGAATAAGGAACACCAAAGAAGAGTTGATGCTTTTGAGTTGTGGTAATGGCAAAGAATACTGAAACGTGGACTGCCAGAAAAAGGAACGAATCTGCCCTGGACGACGTGCAGCTAGAATGCTCCTTGGATGTGAGAATGGCCAGACTTTGTCTCACCTACTTTGGTCACGTTGTCAGAAAGGACCATTCTCTGAAATGGAGCATTCTAGCTGCACTTCTTCCAGGACAGATCTGTTACTTCTAGCAGTCTACAGTACTTTAAGCATTCTTCGCCAATACAACTCAAAAGCATCAACTCTTCTTCAGTCTTCCTTATTCATTGTCCAGCTCTCACATGCATATGAGGCAACTGAAAACACCATGGCTTGGGTTAGGCTCATTTTAGTCTTCAAGGACATATCTTTGCTTTTCAGTGACTGAAAGAGTTCTTCTTGCAAGAGATTTGCCTAATGCAATACATCTTTTGATGGCTTGACTGCTGCTTCCATTGGTGTTGATTGTAGAACCAAATAATATGAAGTCTTTGACAACTTCAATCTTTTCTCCATCTATCATGATGATGCTTATTGGTCCAGTTGTGAGGATTTTTGTTTTCTTTATATTGAGGTGTAATCCATACTATAGACCATACTCTTTAACCTTCATCAGTAAGTGCTCCCAAGTCATCCTCATTTTCAGCAAGGTTGTGTAGTCTGCATATATCAGATTGTTAAAAAGCCTTCCTCCAATCCTGGTGCCACATTATTCTTCATAGTCTAGTGTCTTAGATTATTTGAGTAAGTACTGTACAAGGACCCTGACACACTCCCTTCTTGATTTTATACCATGCAGTATCCCCTTGTTCTGTTCAAACGACAGCGTCCTTGTCTATGTACAAGTTCCTCATGAGTACAATTAAGTGTTCTGAAATTCCCATTCTTCTCAATGTCATCCACAATTTGCTATGATCCACACAATCGAATGTCTTTGCATAGTCAATAAAATACAAGTAAACGTCTTTCTGGGATTCTTTGTTTGAGCCAAGATCCATCTGACATCATAAATGATATCCCTTGCTCCATACCCCGTTCTGAATCCAGCTTACATTTCTGAAAGTTCTAGGTCAATATACTGCTGCAACCGATTTCGAATTATCTTCAGTAAGATTTTACCTGCGTGTGATATCAATGATATTGTTTGATAATTTCCATATTCTGTGAGATCACCTTTCTTTGGAATGGGTACAAATATGGATTTCTTCCAGTCAATTGGCCAGGTAGTTGTCTTCCAGATCTTTTGGCATAGCCGAGTGAGTGCCTCCAGTGGGGCATCTGTTTGTTGAAACATCTCAATGGGTATTCTGTCAATTCCTGGAGCCTGTTTTTCACCAATTCCTTTAGTGCAGGTTTGACTTCTTCTTTCAATACCTTTGGGTCTTGATCATATGCCACCTCCTGAAATGGATGACCATCTACCAATTCATTTTGGTATAGTGACTCTGTGTATTCTATGCATCTTCTTTTGATGTTTCCTGCATCATTCAACATATTGCCCATGGAATCTTTCAATATTGCAATGCAAGGCTTAATTTTTTTCCTCAGTTCTTTCAGCTTGAGAAATGCTGAGTGTGTTCTTCCCTTTTGGCTTTCCAACTCCAACTCTTTGCACAGTTCATTACAATTGACTTTGTCTTCTTGAGCTGCTCTTCGAAATCTTCTGTTCAGCTCTTTTATCTTGTCATTTCTTCCATTTGCTTTAGCTACTCTCCATTCAAGGGCAAGTTTCAGAGTTTCTTCTGACATTCATTTGGTTCTTTTCTTCCTTCCCTGTTTCTTTAATGATGTTTTGCTTTCTTCATGGATGATGTTCTTGATGTCATCCCACAATTTTTCTGGTTTTTGATCATGGGTGTTCAATGTATCAAATCTATTCTTTAGATGGTCTCTAAATTCAGGAGGGATATAACCAAGGTCATATTTTGTCTCTTGGGGACTTGCTTTAATTGTCTTCAGCTTCAATTTGAACTCGCATATGAGCAGTTGATGGTCTGTTCCACAGTCAGCTCCTTGCCTTGCTGAAGATATTGAGCTTCTCTTCTCCATCACCTCTTGCCACAGATGTAGTCAGTCTGATTCCTGTGTACTCCATCTGATGAAGTCCATG